TTCAGAACTAAAAGTCTTAAGGGTAGTTTCCTGGACCCTGACTAGCAGACTAAAAATAAGGGCCTTGTATTGAAGGCTCTGCCTCCCATGCTTCCCATACTTCAGTTTCCACAGGCAGACTTGTACTCTGGGAACATAATGGTCTAGATGTGTAATAGGGCACTGTGAGGTGGGAAATGTCATATGCCCTAAGGGACTTACGGTAGCTGTGGTGCAGTATTACGTTGTATTAAATCACTATGAGGGGTCATGGATGGAAATTGATGGTGTCCTTTTTCCACCACAAACCCTAGTGCATTGTCATCCAACAAAACTCACACCCACTCAACAACAGCTATGAAGTGGCCCTTTGGGTGTCACTTCATCTGTCCTTCAGAACCTCTGATTTGTTTATTGCGACCATATTTGTAAAATATGAAAATAAACTCATAAAAACGCAGACAGACAGATGGATGGATATATAAAGTTAAGATAGTCTCAAATCTGGGACTTCAAAGACATTTTTTTTCCTCATCGCCGGTTTTAATGAAGTCTTCTCAGAGGGGAGCAAGCAGTGAGACTCTCTTTATTAAAGCACAGCCACTAAGGGCCCCCTATGGACCTACATAACAAAGTGTGTCATTAAAAATTAACTTTGGATGGTGGAGACTTAGTCACAAAGGAGAGAAGGAGCACAAGGCGAGATCAGCCAGGCCTGTAGCTGCTGATCGTAGGGACGAGCGATGCGTCACATGAAACCTTGGCTATGACGACCCTGGGTGAAGTGAACCAAGGTGGTGACTATTGTGACCAAACAGCTGATTTAAAAATGTTTCTCTTAAATTTTTTAATCCACAAAAACAGACAACTTGTGTTTTTTTGTGTGTGTTGATCAGCAGCTTACGTTGATCCCTCACTAAATGCAACGTTATTGGTTTAAAACACAGATCCACTCGAAAAGATGTCTGTTTCTGCATTGTTGTGTCTTTCTGTCCATGACGTGTGAATGGGTGTATGTGAGGACAACTCAACAGAGCTTTAAATGAAAAGGCTTTATGCATGCTAAATAATTTGTTTGAACTACTTTCCTCATATGATGACATAAAAAAGCTTTTAAGTGATAGGTTATAAATTTCAGCGATGAATACTTTATGTTGCTTTCATTAATACTACAAAGGCCACTTGATCAGATCTGTAAAGATTACTTCTTCATGGTTTATTAAGAATTAGAATAGATATTAATTACTGTTAAATATGGGTCTAATTGATTAGGATTGGTACAGGATCTAAAAAGAACACGTGGAATTAGTTATGTGAGTTGCAGGGTCCATTAAAAATGCATGAAAACATAATCAAAACAGGGAAACAAACACACACCAAGCCAAATATGAGGCTGAAATTCCTTTATTTGTTAAAAACATATCACAACGAGAGAGAAAAAAACAGTAGTAAAACAAGGTGGGTCAAATTGCAGAAGGAAGGGTAAACAACAAAAGGAACAGGTTTCCATACATAGATAGAAAAAAGGCCAGGAGGTGAAAATACAAATAAAAAAACAGGGAACCAATAAATAAATAAATACATAAAAACTAAACAAAAATCAAGCAGCAACCTAGGGAGAAACAAGCCAGTGAGGAAGAGAAAACTGCAATTCCTCAAGTGTCCACTTGAGGCTTGCTCCAAAAGCCCAAAAGACCCAACTTACAGTCCGTGGAGATGTAAAAGCTTTTTGGTTTTCAACATTGTAGAGGTAGAGACAGCAGCTGCAGTCTTCAGCCATCATTCAGAGAACCAACACAGGCACACTACATGGCTAACTTTGTTCAATCATATTTCTAAGACAACATGCTGAGTTTAAAAGCATCCAAAGTCAAAAATAAGTTTATTGTTAATAGATAGAGAAAAAAATTATTCAAAGAGTCATTCATGGGGAATACCTTTTCATTAATGTTTTACAGCAGGGAACACGGCCACTTGGGAGAGAACAACAAATCAGGAAATTGTTTTGAATTAATGGCAAGCTGAAACACATTGTACCAAGAAAATGGCCTTCACTGGGATTGTCAAACTAATACAGGTGCAGAGAAAGGATGAAATATGACTCATTCTTGAAAAGCTCTGATTTTGAGGCTGTTAGCATCTTTGAGCTGACAGTAATTATTTTATCTTGACAGTCACAAAGTCAAAAGCAAAAGTACTCTCTTGAAATGACAAATTCGTCTGCCTTGATTATGACTTGCACAGATTCAAAATTTTTGGAAAACATACTGTGCTGCTGAATGATGCATTTTGCCTGTCCTGCAGACTCTGCATTCACAGCCTTAGAGTTAAATAAATGAGTGGTCTTTCTTTACCCCTTTCTCCTCTACTCCAAATTAGATTCATTGCCATGAAATATCTGATCTGTTTCCTCTAACTGAGATATGAAACAGATCAAGAGACGCAAACAAAAGAGAAGTAATTTGGGGATGTAAATTAAATTCTGATCTCAGTCTTTGGTGAAGTGGAAAACAAGGTCACAGCTTACATTTGTGTACAATATTCATATTCACATTTACAGCTTTATACCATTGTTAGTTTTATATGTTGAAAGGAAACATGAAAACAGAGATATGCGTAAAGAATGGGGCGTGTGCAGCTGTCTATTTCATGTAACTTGAAGGAAAGGACAAATTTGTCTGTTTCTAAATCAGACATGTCATAGAAAAAAAGAAACAGACTGGGACCATTTGAGCTTGAACCTTCACAGTATGATATAGCTTTGGTGAGACCCATCTGGTTAAAGTTGAACAATACAAAGTGGATTTTTATTTAAAGCCACCTTTCTTTCCTGCTTTCTGCTCCCTGTGACACAGTTGCTTTTACGCTTTCTCACGGAAGCTCAGGTCTTTCATATCCTTTGCTTTAAGACAGGCCTTTCAACTACAGGTGTCCAGCCTGAGGCAGAAACATGCCCTCCTGTGGCTCTCTCACTGTAGGTACAAGGTTACCCCCATCCACAGATCTGGAATCAGTTTTTTCTGCTCCTGCTGGAGGATTTTTAATAATGACGGAGAACGACTTGCATAAGAACTGAATTTAGATAAATACTTATATTTTTCAAATTTGCAGCTCTTACCTGGAACAATTTCTTGTAAAATGTATTCTTGTAATACATGTTTTGGGAAGTCTTGTAGTCACCAAAATAAAAAACAAAACTGTTCTGCATTTTTTAAAAGCTGTGGAACTAAGTTCGGATGAAACACATTTCTGACAGAAGAAAACTAATGAAAATCTTGTCCGCTGAATTTTACAATTACATCTCGTTCTGTCTTTCTACAATTGAATACACAAAATTTTAACATCTTTCAAAAAGTATTCACATATTTCCATGAGAAATAAAAAAAACTTGGTTTTCTAAAAAAAAAAAAAAAAAAAAAAAAGAAAGTAGAAAGAATTCTGTTCATAGCCAGTATGTTGTTTGTTGTATACTGTGTCCAGCTGCTCTGGGTTGCACACCATTGCGCTACGCTTCAAACGCACCTCCAGCTATCCACTGTGCGCACCCTTAGATGGAGCTGTTATCTAATTGGATTGTGACATATCTGTCCCACAGGTCATATTTATTTGAAAAAAGCAGCTGTGTTACTGGCTGTTACAGCAGTAGAATAATCGGTATTTCACAGCAGTGTGTCATCAGCATATCAATATAGTGCAGTTAAAGGTCCTGTTGGGACTTTGAGGATGGCAAAGATAGATGGGCTCAAAAATGAGGCAAAAATCCAAACTAACCATGTGCATTTATTTTCAGTGCAGCAAAGCCCATGTACAGCTTTTTTTAAAGGCAGGTCTTGGAGTTGTCCTTCAAAAACTAAACAAAAACTAAACAACAACAACAACAAAAAAGTAGATATTGGCAACAATGCCAAAAGAAAGTCTTCACCAGAGTTAGGGATAGAGCTCTACACAATGCCACTTAGGTCCTTGGAGCTCAATTTGCTCTTTGTTTGGTTGCAACACTTAACAATAACTGCTTTGACTTCCACCCCTTCCCCTAAGACAATAACCTAGTGATGTGTCCTTCAGTGCCGAGGCTTCGAAGCGTGTGTCGAGTAATGAAGGGGGCGTTTCCGCGAACCGCGTATCGAGGCTTGCTTCATCCAGGGTTGGAGCCAAAAAAGATGACGTCCGAAGCCTCGCTACCCGGCTGTACCACGTGACTGATTCAAGAAACAGTTCACGGGTTTGGCGGATGATTTAACAGGCAGCGAAACGCAATGGAGTCCTCCCCCACTCGCAATCCATAGACTCGAGACTTGTTGAAAAGTTGTTTTTAAATAAAAATAAATAAATGTAAATGAAATGTTTATGTTTTATATGTTGTCCCCGTAACAAACTAAGTAACACTAGCACATCCACACCACAACCCTCTCCATAATTTATGTCCTCTTCCCCTTTTTGACACTGCAACTGTGTCTTAAAGACAGACACCATGTTAATAACTTCATCATTTCTGTATTGTATCACAAACACACGGCATCATACATTCATTCATTGAATTCAAAGCTTCGCGCACCAAAGCCTCGGGGTGTCTTTGGTTTATCACTCTGCCTGTTTTACATTTATTGTCCACTTGATGGCGCAATAGAGCAAATGAAGCACGATCATGAAGCTTCGGCCCAGGAGGCGAGTAATTGGATGGAAAGCTTCGATGCTTCATGAGGCTTCATCTCGCCATCACTACAATAACCACTTTCCTCTTATATAGCTCTGGCTCCTACCAAGAATCAGGGATTAATGATTAGTAATCAATTAAGTCCCCTTTACCTCTTTTCTGGTCCACATGTGCTTCAAACATTAGCAGTGGGGTCACAAAATGAAGTCTGAATAAATTTACATAAAGTTCATTCTCAGATTACCATTAGAGAGCATTTCTTATTTCCATTTCTAAAACACCCCTCCACCACCTTTAAACTTGGTACCTTCCACTTGACCCGCCTCAGTATAAGCCAATGGCAGGGTTCACTTCTGTTTGAAAGTCCCTGGTTTTGGAAATGGAGTGCAAGCATGGCAGCAGAGGACAGGTGACAGACAAAGTTTCACTTGACATACGGTATTTTACAATTCATAAAATGTTTCATATTCAGGAATAAATCTCTGTGTATTTAGTTGAGTCTGTGACTTGGCTTTGTGGAAGTATGGGGGTGCCGCCAAGGGCCTTCATACAGTATGGTAACATGCTATGCTAACTATGCAAACACAGGCCTCTCAGGTGGTTTGGTGTTTAAATAAGTGTGGCTGTATAACCTAAAAGCATGCAAATGTTTTTTTCCAGCTTTCCCACTGACACCTACCCCTTCACAATGGTTTCAGGCATCAAAAATCTCAGTATTAAAACTGTACATCTTGTCACTAATGGTATTTGCTTTTTTATATCATAAGAAGGCATCAGTAGGAATTTCCTGAGTTCATTCATTACAATAAAAAAACAACTACTAATGAGATTAAAGATCTTCAGCTATTTGAGTTACTGTGATAGTGAGAGATTTTGGACTAAGTTAGAGCAAACAAAAGACAGTAATAATTGCAGGTGAACTCTCTGCACTCCTTTACACACACAGACTGAGACAGCACATAAGCCAGCAGGCAGGTACCTGTATCACCTCTAACAAATCAAAGTCAGTCATGGCCTCTTATTCTGTCATTTCAGAAGTACCACTGATGTCTGCGGGGAACAAGAAAGGAGCGACTTGGCTGGATGGAGGCCACGTGGAGGTAAAGGATGATTATATTCTGCTAGCTCTCTCTCTCTGCTGTCATCTCCCAACATTTCTCTTCTGCACAATGACAATGAGGAGGACGGGTTAGAACACCCGTCACCCTAATGTCTCCCTGCCTTATCATGAGGAGCTCATAAAGATCTTCTCTCTTCCCCTCAAGTAGGCCAATCTGTGTGTCAGGCACAAAAGGGACTGCCCACACACACAAACACACTCATAAACACACGGATGTTTTATGCCAGGATCACTTGTGGAGCTCCAAAAGTGAACATGTACAGTCTTGCTCCCTTAAAAAAATGCAACTCCCAATGTGAATGTTTTTTTTTTATCCTATTCACACAGTGGCTGTTTTTCTCTAATGTCAAACTCAAGATAGACAGCTCATAGTCCATTACAATAAGGACATTTACATGATGTTAAGAAAAAACATTAGCCTGAGTTAAATAGCGCTAATTTCTTAAAGACAGGCTGATATCAAGACAATGCAGTTGAGGATTGATTTTCTTCTGCATGTGTACATCTCAGTCTGGGCCCAAGCTGGCCCAAACACAATTCACATGCAGTGTTTTAACCTGAAGGTCAACTAGCATAAATGTGTTGAGGTGAGTCCACAAAGTCTTCCAAAAGAAATAGAAAGGGAAGTAGAGAAGTTGTAACTATTGTATGGTATACATGAAAATTGTCCATATTTTCATCGTTCAACATTTAACCAACCAGCCTCTTGCTAACTTGTTTGTTGACTGTTTGGGTTTATGTGACATTGTACTGTAGGTCAGTGTTGTTTTTGGCAGGCATTTTAGATTTAGTTTTAGTCTTAGTCATTTTGACGAAATGCTTCTTCGTTTTAGTCCCATTTTAGTCATTTCTATCCTTGATAGTTTTCGTCTAGTTTTAGTCCGACGAAAACTCAAAAGGTTTTAGTCTAGTTTTAGTCGACGAAAAGGTGCCTTTTGAGTTTCGTGGTGTTCTTTCCCGACAGTTTGAAGCCGCAGCATGAGGAAGCTGTGGCTCCACAACTGTCGTCTGTCTCGTCTCCCCGTCCCCGTCCAAGACATTGTGTTTTATTGTCACTTGGACTGTATCTGAAGTAAATCATCCCTCTTTTTTCGGCCACCGGGCATCGCTGCTGTGCCTGCCGCCACGGTGTGTGTGTGTGTGTGTGCGCGCCTCGTCCACCTGCCGCTCTGTGTATGTGTATGAGTGTGTGCGCGCAGCTGTGCGCGAGCGAGGCTTTTGGTGCCTGTGTGATGGGGGCGTGACTGTTAGGCCAAAAAAAAAAAACATGTTTTGAAACTTTGTTCGTCCACCTAATAACAATTTAGTCTCGTCCCGTTCTCGTCTGACGAAAATGAATACAATTTTCATCACATTTTAGTCTTTACAGAGCTTTGGTGAGGTTCGTCTTAGTCTCATTTTCGTCAAGGAAAAAAGGGGTCTGACATTGTCATTTAAGTTTTCGTCCTGCCTGACGAAAACAACACTGCTGTAGGTCGACTGGGAGACAGCCCTATGGTATCCAGCTTAATGAGGGAAAGTCCAGTTCTATTGCATTATTGAGCTATGACTCTAGCTTGACTTAAATTTGCATGTGAACGCACTTTGTGTTTTTATTTTGTGCCATGTTACAGGTGTTAAGTCATGTAGTTTTAGGTTTTCTGGAAATCTAGTCAATTCACTGCGATGAACAAGGAGAGAGAAAGTCAAGTCATAATTCAAAATCAAGTAACGCTAATCCATTGACAAAAATGGCTAAATCACTAACAAAATAATACAGCTGTTTAGGAAAATTAGTTGGTGATGGGGAGTTGGTCTATTCACATTTGGTCTATTTTAAAGTAGTTCTCATGTATAACTAGGGTAATGATGGCTAGCTGGACAGTTGTGAAGATAAGGTATTAACTGTTTTGTGAAGGCTGCTTATGAATGAATGACAAACAAATAACATATTTTATTTTGATCTATATATATACACATTCCCCAGATGTTTGACAATCAGTTGTTTGTAGGGTAATGATGGAGTATTAGGATGTAGTCTTTAATTATTGAAATTGCAGCCAAAAATCCACCAACACTCCACTGAAAAAGCATTTTAGATTTCTATCCTGAGTGTGATTTTAGAAGATAATGATTGCAATGTGAAACTGGTGAATTATTAGTTGTTGATAAATTGTAGATAAGTGATTTTTTGAATTAAATTTCAGTTTGATTGAACAACCAGCTGTACTGTTGCAAAAAAGAAAATCAGCCTAGCCCTCTGTGGTGGAGCTCGCTGTCAACAGTTTAAAGGTCCCTGTTTAACCTCTCATTGACCTGTAACCTTTCACCTCCAACAGCGCTATATTCTTAGCATCTGGTGATTGATAATCAAAGTAGCTTGATGGCATTTTTAATCAATCTTTTTCAATTATTTCCATGTGATGCTCCTTTATGGATCAATAATTCAATCCATGGCAGTTCACCTTTTATTAAAAAAATCTTCTGTTAGGTGCAAAATTAAAGTGACTGAAGCTAGCATCTATGATCCATCAGATCCAAGCGTCAGATCAACCTGTGCTTGTCACTGTGTTTCTGCTGTGCAGCTTTTTTAGGTCCTCCACAGACAGACAGTGCCGGGTTGTCACAAATATACCATGTGAATGGGAGAGAAAAGAGGCAATTTGGATCCTCATTAAATTTTCAAAAGTCCTGATGGTCCTCTGAAAATTGAACCAACTGTTCCAACGCAACCTTAATTTTATGCTACAGTAAGTGCAAATTAGTTTCACAAAAATTATTTTTAATCACACACTGCAGAGTTAATTTGCTGTGTGGTAATTTTCCATGCTACCCCCTTAGTATCCCACTTAGTCATGAACCACGATGACACATATGATCTGTGTTCAATCCAGGCCGTCCTTCGGTTCAGGCGCAGTGTTTCTCTAGTACCCACTCTGCCAGTACTCTGCCTACTGCATAAACACAATGACGGGATTTCCTTACAGCAACACAGGAGGCCAAGGATAGCCTTTTATTATCGGTAATAGTGATCTTACACTGTTAGATTATGGTGTTTTTATATTACATTTCACTGATTGCAGTTATTTGATCCTTTTCTTAATATTCTTCATATCACACAAGAATTATGATGTATCATATTGATGCATCCTTAGCATTTGGGTATTTAAAGAGTATGTAATACTGCATAAATTAGCTTGAAAGTTGTCATATATATTGTGATTAGATTCACTATTATCTTACAAAACATCATGTGTTTGCTTATATCCACAGACCCTTCTCTATATTCTATACAGCTTTAGGTCCATGCAAATGTAATCATTGTGAATTCACACTTATATGACTCAGAACATAATTAGTATTGTGTAAGATATGCGGTCCATTTTGTTGAGCATAATTGTATATAAGAAAAACAATACAAGCTGGATGGAGGGTGCATGCACAGTATATTTATGGCGCATGTTTTATGAACTCATGTAGATGCAACACTCATTCTCTCTGGAGTCTCTCCCTTGAGAAGACAAGACAAAATGCATAACTTCATGTTTACAGACAACACAGGAGAGGGTAATTAAGTAACGAGAACCAAAGTAAGAGCAAAACACATGCTGCCTAAAATAATATGGGCTACAACAAATAACATTTTGTGTGCTGCAAAGCTCCTGTGAGTTTTTTTTAACAGGTTGTGAAACAGAATGATATTAATATAAGTTTGTATTAGTGCAACATTCACTTTTATCTCAACATTTGAATTATACTGTCTTTGGCTTCAAGTCCCTTTTAGATCTTCATTGTCACATTAAGAGAGATCAATCACAAAAAGCCCCTGAAAGAGACACATAATTAGCATTTATAGACGAGTGAACAGCCATCAAAGTAAAAACTGCATTTTTCCAATGTTCTTCCCTAATAACGTAATACTTTGACGACATTTGTCTGATGTTCTTCTTCTTGATTGACTGAAACAGAAAGCTCAACCAGCTGCAGACCTCTGTGAGACATACAAGTGGTGTAGAGCCTTCAGCAGTTCATGACACGATGTTCACATATTCTCAGTAGGTAAAGCTAATTTGCAGCCTGTCATGAACCTGAGACACAGAAACCAGAATGACCTATGCTGAATGAACACTTTAGGGCTTCTTCATCGTAAGTAATGAGTCTAATCTAAAAGTTCCAAATTAGTCTTGAATTAAAAGGAAAAATGATCGTTCCTGCTTCAGGTTGGTTAGAGACATTAGTTGAGTACATTTGCAAGATCCTTTCCTTTTGATTCTCTGACTCAAAATTAAAACTGATCCTGATAAGGCAAAGATGTACACTGTTTAAGAGTGGTGTGAATATTTCTTTCATTTTCTCATCTCATTTGATACATGATTAATGACATTACTTGGCAAAGTTCAGTATTTTTCAAACTGAATGTAATAACTTTACAAAGAGTTCATGGTATTATGAACAGCAATTACTCGACTGATGTGCGAACTTTAGATAAAACACAACATTTCTGCTGCTAGACCAAAGACAAAGAAGTCCATCATAAATGACTGTTGCTTCTAAAGCTGTGTTCATGGTATAAGAACAGTTATTTCAGCTGCATTGGAGCGTTTTCTAAAAGGCACAATGGCAGCTAAACTGTTTCACCACCCAGTCAACCTTTAGGTTCACTTCATTATCACCCTTGCCAGATTGTGACAGTAGTCTGCCTCTTATTCTTTGTGAGAAAGGTCAAATTGAGAAGTGATTGTACAGTGGCAGAGGTTGGGCCCTTTTAATAGTTCTCTACTGGGATGGAAATTGCATTGCATCACCCTTGGTTGTTGAAAAAGTGAGAGGAACATTGTGTTAAGTAATTGGCTAGATGACGGTATGAAAGGCTTGTGGGATGTTTGATAGGGAAAGAAACTGAAAAGATCTTACTGACACCGATGCCTTATTGGTTCTGCTTACTGATCCATTTCTTTCTAGATTCCCTCATCAGTTCCTGTGGTAAAGAGTAGGCTCATGCAGCTTTTTAGAGTCAACAACACAAGTGTTATTTACCCTTACTCTGCTTAGACAGGGTAGCCTGGCTTCTAACCAGGCATGTACATGCAAAGTTTCTGCTTCTGATTGGTCAACAAATCAGAATAACAACAGAGACACTATTTCTAAAAGGTCATAAACTGTTGAAAATTACCTTTGTTTTTGAGGGATTGGATCCAGACAGTCTCTATAAATACAATCATCTTTTCTGAGGGAGGATCCTGTAAAAGAAACACTTTAATGTTCTAGCCTGAAAGCTGTCGGACTCACTAAGTGAGTGGATTTTACTGTAAGGTGGGACATCAAACATTGTAACTTTAGAGCTGATGTTGTCAGCACAGCAATATTAATTTGTATACCATGGCATTTTGGACAGCTGCCATTTTCACTGACTGCCTTTCAGGATACATCATGTCATTGTTTTGAGGGAATAGGTGGTAGGCATGGCTGAGGGAACTTGTAAGGATAAGGCAAAATTATGTCAGTGGCTCAAAGTAGTGAAAATCAGTTCTGATCTGTAACTGCTTTATGATTGCACTCGGATCCCCATCAGCTTACACACAGAACTTTGACTGTAAATCACTCCCTTTCTGTATCTAAATAAATCTTAAGTTTGGGGTGCAAGTCTCTACCCACAACTTGAAATCTGGCCCCTCAGAAGAAGTCACAGTACACGGCCACTGACTCCAAGCCTGTCCATCACAACAGAGGGCCCAACAGAACAATAAAAAGCCCCCTCGGGAAATATGCCAGATCTCAGAGTTGGCCCCTATATGAGATTTTGTCCTAGAAGCAGCACATATGTTCCCTGGGGCGGGATGAACGGCCCCGCCTGGGATGATGGGGAGAGAGAAGGAAAGAGGATAGATGAAAGAGGAAAAGGAGGAGGACAGACGAGTGTCTCCATCTGTGTGTGGATCTGGGGGGCTTACAGAAGGTTACATCTCCCCCTGGAGAAGACGGGAGTCCTAGGCAGATAGCATCGAACACAGACTGAGTTTCTCTCTTCACTGGCCTTGTGCTCCAAAGCTGCCGTGTTCCAGCTGGTATTGGTAGCAAAATGAACAGCCAAAGTAAGTACATGGCACAGAAACACATGTGACATCTATGTACTTGTGCTTTCCACTGTTGATTCTCTGTATTCTGGCTCAATTATCATGGCTCTAACTGCAGATATTTAAAGAGCGCATGTCTGCACTTTGCATATTTATCTCATGACAGCTTTTTGGATACATACAGTCCATAATGTCACAGTAACATATTTATCGTATGTGCTCATGTGCATTGCTTGTGTATAAATGCACAGCCTTTGCAATAAACGTGTTTAACTTATACGCGCTTGTATTTGTGAGCTTGCGCATGTAAATCCAGGGAACTGGCCATCTCCCTGGCAGACAGTGACCATCTGGCCAAGGGCTTTGGAGACAGAGCCTGTCTGTTCAGCACTATAACCCTTATCCCCATGCCATCTCTCAGATGCCCCTGCCACTCTCTAGGGTCTCCCGTCACACCGGAAGAGGCACTCTGAAATGTATGAGAGATGACAGACGGGGATGTCTGGCATGGACTGGACTAAAGAGAGAGTGCAAGAGAGGAGGGAAAAATTGTCAGACAGCCAAACCAAGCAGACACATATCATCATTCTATTGGGCAAGGATCCAAATCAATATCTTGTTACTGACAAAGGCAGTAGGTTTGATGTATGCTGTTGTTCTGTCCTCGGGGTTGAACACACATCACCGGCCCTGAGGTGTGACTGTCTGCACACACATCACTTGTGTTAGTGTGAGGCTGTATAGCTCATGGCAAGGGGTGTATGTTGGTTCACTGGCTGCGGCTCATCACATATTTTCAAGTCTGAGTCAGTTTTGTCCCTGGTAGATGAAAGGCCTCAAAACTATAAATCAGGACATGCAGTTATTTCCTGTGTGTGTGAAGATATGCACATGGAGAACACACATGGTGCACAGACAATCAAGCAGTGTGAGAGGGAAATAAAGAGAGTACTAGGGCTGTGCTAAAATAATCTAGAACTCAGTTTATGAGGACCATGCACCAAGGGTAGAGGGGCATTTGGTAATGGACTGAGAAAGTAAGTGCCCATTAACGCTATGAAAGCACAGGTTACATGATTAAAATAGTTTTCAGCCAACGGGGATGATGTTTTTATTTTCTGAGTCTGAGAGAGACGTTCTGCACAGAGCCTAATTATTAAACTTCAGCATAGCTGAGGTCAAACAAAGAATAGAAAGTCAACTTCACAGTTTTCTCCTCAGAAAGAAAGATTTAGTGTGAGGACAAAGAAATTGGTTTGCTGATTATTGTTTGTAATTATCACTTTTTATCCATTAATTATTCTGATAAATCCAAGGTGAGCAGCACAGGAGTCCTTAAAAAAAACCACATCGCTTCATAGCCCACCTTAAAGGAACTGTGTATGGTTCATTGGATCATTTCCTATTATCACAATTACTGACTCATACTGTATTCTATCACTTAATCTCACACTGTCTATGTCCACAAACTCTGGATCCCAACTGCACTGCATTGTGTTGTATCAAACATTTCTATATTGCAATATAAAGTATTACAACAAAGTTATCGAAATGCATTGTATCACAGTGCACAATGTTGCAAAGCACCACATTACAGTACAGTACAGTACCGTACAAGCATCATACTGCAACACATTCAGTGTTACATGCACAGCTTAATCAGACTGAGCGCATAATTTGTTTTTTTTTCCGCTGAATCGGATTTCTTTCCTTGTCCGCGTATACATGCAGCTGAGAAAATCAAATTATTGACGTGAATGTGTCCTCCTCCCAAAAACTAGGGGGCGATATGGGTCTTTTCAGCGGCGCTGTTTCCAGTTGACCCAACAACAACAGCAGGTCCGCGCCAGATGCTAGAAGTGGCTAAAACTGCTGCTTGGCATTTTCGAGCAAGAAGATGGAGCATCTTACAGTGTTGTTTTTGTCGTACATGATGTACATGCCCCTTTTTCTGCAGATGAGGTACATGCTACTCCTCTTCTCTGGTGTTTTTGTTCTGGGGTTACGGGGGCGTGGCGCACGCACACATGCATTGTCCGATCATACTCTGACTACGCTGGTTACATGGTAGAGGAAATCGAATTCCAATCTCAAACACCGATTGGAGTCAGACTAAGGTGTTTGCATGCACTTCAGTTGTCCGGTTTTAATCGGAGTAAAGCAGTAATTGGGTTATCTCGAGTGTCATGTCAACGTACTGATTGTATCCAATACAAAGTACTGCAGTCTTTCACACCATAACTCGTCATATCACAGTGCATCTTACAACACATAGTACTATAATGCATTGTTGCACAACACATCACATGCAATGCATCAAAACATCATGATACACCATTGTGTTTTAACACGTTATGATATTATTTTGTATTTGACCATTGGTTATACATCTAAGTGTTACACATGAAGTCATGATTTACTGTATTTAAATGCATCATGTCCCAGTGGTGCATACTGTATCATATCAGACACATTTTAATTGCATCGTATCACATCTCACTGTATGTACACAATGTGTTCCAAGGTCTCATAAGACATAACATCATACTGTATTGTATTGTATCATATATAATCTATATTTCCAGATATATTCATTTCATTGAATTGTATCCTATTTCATTTTATTCATTCAATCTGTTTGTGGTTTGAGTTTGAATCCATGCAGTAATAGTCATCTGCTCATCAGTGCTCATCTCAGTTTCCATAAAAACTGCCTCAACTTAGACATTGTTTGCTAAATATTCAGACACATTGCTTGTTAATGTTTGTCTGAATCCTTCAGCAACCAGTTTCTGGATGAAAACTGAAAGTCTGATTTTATCTTTATAAGCATAAACTATTGAAAAACTGTCTTGAGAAGTGCATTCAAATGTCTAAAGAAAACATAAAAAAACTCTGATACAGTAAACCAGCATGGTCATAAAATCCATGTTCAGTTATGAAAAATGATCTATTTCCATGTCCCACCACTGCTTCCTCAGTCTGTTACATAGCTAATTGCTGTAATCCTGATATAAATTCAAGGCCGAACATAATGTTCTGACATGCCCTCTGGCTTCTGTAAGATCCTACTCTCCATCTCCTGCGGGATCTTGAACTCAAAAATAGATTTCCACTTGGTTTAATTAATGCTATTCTCTTCTATAGGCAATGAGTCTACTTTATACCAGAGCTATATTTCCAAAGGTCATACAAGATGTCAACATACCCTTCCAATCTCTCTCCCTTACACATACATACATACATAACCAACATTGTTCTCACTGTTTCTTTCTCTCACCTTCCTCTTTCTGTCTCGGGTGGTGTAAGGGATCAGGAATTTCCCTCAAGGGTCCGCCCACACATTAATCCCCCAGGCCGAGAGTGAACAGCAGCAAAAGTATCTCTGTTTGTGCATAAATGTGCTTGAGTGTAAGCCCATCTGTGGGAACCTTTTAGCTTGCAAAGATAAAAATGAAATACAAGACTCTGATCTGTTTGCTGTTCAACAGTGTGTCAAATGAAGATATTATGCTGAGTTCGAGTTTCTTTGGAGGTCAGATGTCGGAGCTGAAAATGACGTCACACCCAAGTTACCAGCGTTTCAGTTACTAAGTCAAAAAAAAAAAGCTAAATCAGTGGCGGAAACAAGATGGCTACATCTATGAAAGTTATTTTAGCACTTGCCTTGTCCGAATATTTTTTTATTTGTTTATTTATTTGGATCCCCATTAGCTTCTACCGAGGTAGCAGCTACTCTTCCTGGGGTCTAGTATAAGGACAAGGCGAGCGCTAAAATAACTTTCGTAGATGTAGCCATCTTGTTTCCGCCTCTGATTTAGCTTTTTTCCCGACTTGGTAACTGAAACGCTGGTAACTCGGGTCTAACGCCATTTTCAGCTCCGACATCTGACTTCCAAGGTTACTCGAATGCATTAGCAACATCTAGCTAAGATTCAAGATGGAACGCTTTCCTGCCAATTTCCTGTCGCTAAGGCAACATCGAGAACCAAAATAAAGATGGTGTCATCTACGACAGATGCAACAAAGTCAAATATTTCAGTTCCATTGTGATGATAATTTTTGCTATTTTATCTAAATAACTGTAGTTTATAGCCCCGTTCTAAGATGACGAGTTGGTCATTGTTACATAATGCAAGCTGAGACTAGCAAAGTAATGCAGAAAAAGCTTTTCTTGAGTACGACAGTCTTAGGGACACATAAAAAAAAACAAAAAACAAAATTTAAAGTCATAGTAAGGTTGTATTTCAAGAATTAAGACACAAGTAAAGAGTCACAACATTATGTGATTAGTCATACAGTGACATAAAATACAGTCATAGCTAAGTCATAATAATGTTATGGGACTAAAGTGGTGATAAAGTCTTTGTTTTGGTTCATGGTGAACAGCCAGCTGCCTGCCCCTAAAATTAGTAACGTGGAGCGTTTTGTTCAAGTGTCTCTAATGTTTTGTCGCCTCAGTTCACATTGTTATAAGTATCAGGACTTTGAAGAGACTGAGCAAAAAGCTGAGCAAGTGGCACCCCCTTCAAAATGTCATTAAGTGGCTAACTCAGAGTGTTGTACTTCGAGGAGGATAAGTCGAGTGACTGTCAGAGAAAAGAAGTAAATGTTGAGTTATTGGCACAACATTGTTTCATGGTTGACTCTTATCATTCTGATGAAACATTAGCATTTTCTCTTAAACCAGAACTAACTGAGACAACTGGCCTCAGACAATTATTTCTCATTTAGATTTTTTATATCTATGAAAGATTCCACTAATGCGAACCCTTGTTTTCTGCTGGTACCTGCCCTGATCTTGATTTACTTGCTGTTTTTTTTTTGGGGGGGGATGAAAACACTTATTCAGTGATGCATGACAAGTATGATCCTCTATTTGTCAGATTTTAATGATCAAAAACTCTATCAATACAAATTCAGTTATTTGTTTATTATTCCCAAAATGATCTTAGTTCCTGCAAGTTTGTGCGTTCTGAGCCACTGTAGAAAAATGAAAGAGTGTGTCATGACAGCCTCCAGAGCCGAGACCTGCTGCATGCTATAAGAACTGTTCTTGGATTTCAGTCTCCAGACTCTGTCCTGTTTTTCTATCATTTAAATAAAAAGCAGTTTTTCAGTTTTTGTTTCTTGAAGCACAACGAAAGTAAGGAGAGTAATGGTTTGGATTCTTGTTGACTCACAAAACAACAAGGACACCATTGCTTGCTTTTTGTACATTCTGTCCAGGCCACGTGTTAGATCTGATTTTTTTTTTTTTTTTATACCGTAGCCATGACAGAACCCCCCCCCCACACACACACCTTAGCAAGCTCATTTTCAGTTTGGACAAAAAGATCTAGCATTGTCAGCCGTGTAGAGATATTAATAACTCATTTGCACAAGCGTGGTGCTTCCGAATTGTGTTGCGTACGAACACTGAATATCCCCTGCTCTTTACACATGAAAAGAGGGAGACAATGAATGTGGCTCATTATACACTACCTTATCTGTGTGTATGACCCTGAGTAGCGTCAGGGTCTCAGATTCGTCCTCCCAAATAGTGCATTACTTTGTGTCATGAGGGTTTGTATTAGTGAATGCTGTGATTTCCATCTAATGAATACACATGCACTGTGGAGCGTTGTGAGGAGCTTCCTCTCGTAGCATGGACTGAATAGTGTATTAAGTCAAACACACACTGACGAATAGGGAGATGTGTGTATTTCAGAGTGGCATGCTGGACTGAATATTCTCCTCCAGTGTGTTCTCCATCCACAGTATAGATCACCTATTACACTGTGTGGGTGGAGAACAAGCAAACTGTGCAGTACACTCTGCTGTGTCTAGAGGCTGGAGTCTGAGGAAACTGAATCTTTATTTTATAAATATAACTTTAAATGTCAGATGAGGCCTTACAGAAAGAGTTTAGAAATCTTTCAGAGCTGTGGAGCCATTTCGTTATGTTCAAATTGAGATCTACAAGGAAACACAACCCTCTCTTGTGAAAAATAGCATAATTTACATAAAGGGAAAATTAATTTGTCACCTTAGTAATAGCTATTTCTGAAAGATTGCAGGTGGATTCAAGTGACTTTTACTTTAAGGTATTGTTAAGGACACACGGGAGACTGGATTCAGTTTACACTTCTTTATTGACTTTCCTTTTGCTGTAAGACAATAACAAAATGTCGAAACCATGTACGCCTGCGGGCGTAGTGTGAGTGCTGTTCGGGCTGTAATATGATATTATTTGATTTTAATGTTTCACAGTTTTCACTTGGATTGTTTTACTGTTTTATGCCTGCTCATTGTAAAGCACTAAAAGCACTTATTTTGACAACTGCTTATAATTGAAATTCATCTCACCAAGTGTCAAGAGGAAATGAGGATCAAGTGGTTAAGAGTACGTACAAATCCTGAAAGGCTCACCATTTCTTTTTTAATGATGAAATCTAAGAAATGAAGTTTTATGAAGCTCTGTATAAAGTGCACTTAACAAAATATACTGTTTTCTCTGTTTGTTTTACTGTCAGGAACATTTATTTTAAAAAGCTGAGGTCCAACACTACAGCTTGAAGAGGATCAGTGAGTGTATGACACTTAATATTTTATTCCATAACTTATCTAACCTGCAAACAGCAGTATTAAATAATTTCAGGACCTTAAAGCTGTCCATTTGATAAAAACCTATTTACCTTGCCTATATATTTATATAATTAAATCATCCTCCAGCCTAGCAACCCTGGTAGCTTGGAAGTGCAAAGCCTCTGCATAGTTTCTGTAGCCCACCTACTAGGAAAAAAGCCTCTACAAGGCAATTTAAACTGACTCCTATAGTGACGCAACAACTAGAGCGATTTGCATGGGCATGCATGTAAAACCACCACCACTCCTCAAGCATTCAGCCACCTCCTACGCTGTTGTGGTTATACTTCAGTGTTGTAAAGTCAAGATGTCAAAGGTCAAAGCCAGACTCGCCAACTGCTCTGCCGTTGGTTGGTAGATGCTGTCAAAACCCCCGAGGACTAAAAATAACAGTGACGCTTTTTACTTTTAACAACAACCTGCTGGCTACAGCTGGTACGAATGTGTGTTGGTATCAAACGCCTTACCATAGACTGTTTCAACAATGAGAGCCAAACAAAGGAAACCATACACGAAAGCCAAAAGAAAGTAGGAATAACTCTTAAATTGTACAGTACCATTTTGGAGACATGCTGTTGTAATAGAAGCTGTCACACTTAACATGAATAGTCAGTGTGAGCAACATGTGACTAATTCCCGAGCAAACTGAGACATGAAAAATAGAAAGTGAACCACACAATTCTGACTAAGATCAACGTAATTAGCAGGTATGAAAAAGCGGCAGGAGTCAATGTCCAAATTAAGACCTATTATAATATTTGATGCATAATAGAAAACTCATTCCCTGACACTGTGTCCTTCCTCTCATCTATTATGTGGCATGTACGGCTGTTTTTGACCTAGTATATCTGCTGCAGTTCAGCAGTAAGGGAATAATAAAATGAATATGAAAACATAATTCAAGGCTATAGGTACCGTTGTTTTACATCCAATAAAGATAAGGCTTATAGGCGTCAGTGTTAGCACAAATGCATTCATCTGCAATTTCCCCCCTCAGTGCAGCGCCTTATTGTCAACTTGGTTTACGTGGATCACTGTATACTATAAATATGAGATTAGAAAATGAGAGGCTTTGGACCCCCCAACAGAGGCGTCATTCTTGTCTACTTAATGTAGACTTT